CCCTAATTAACCGTTTTCGTCCAACGCTACACATGGAGGAAGCCACGGAACAACTGGCTCAAGAAATGCTCCAAAGAGTAAACGAACCCAATGTACTTCAAGCCAGATTAGAAAATGAGGGACTTTTAAGACGCCATGGCAGATGGGAACCTTTACGAGAAAATCAATTTGGAGATTTTCCTGTTTTAAATATGGTTCAGTTAAGACACATTATGTATGGAACCTTCCAAATTAAATTATCACCATCCTATATACAGGATAATATTGAAGAGCATGGTAATCTTTTTTTTGAAATTGATACCATATTTAATCAGCCAAATCATATTCGTGTGAGAATTCGGTCAAGGCACAGAAATCAAGTAAAATACCAACTAGTTATTTGGTATAATCCGGAACATGTAGCTGATGACAATATTGAGCAAGAAATAGAAAATGGGCCTATATTAGGTCACTTTTGCCAGTGCAAAACAGGTGCACGAACCATAGGTTCATGCGCACATATCGCAGCTGTCATTTGGTATTTGGGATATGCAAGGCATGAAGCTGTCATTAGATTACCTAATAGGACGGTTCTAAATGTAGTACAAGATGCTGCAGACAGACATATCTTACTCCAATAGTTTTTTTAGATATTTTAATTTTTTTTTAATCAACTGTTAATAGTAGGTAATGTATATTCTATTCTTACTTTTAGTTATGATAGCTTCTGCATTTTTAACAGGTTGTTTGGTACAACTTGTCTGTACATACAAAATCCACAATTGAACTTCAATATTTATGATAACGTCGTAATGGCCAATAGAGAGGAAGATCTTCAACCAAATATCAATGCATTCAACCAGACGTACAGGAAAATCGGCCTAGAAGTCAACTTTAACAAGACGCAGATTCTGCACCAACTTGCATCAGGCATTAATCCCCAAGCCCCAGAAATAACCATAAAATTATGAATGATCATTCTCTGCAGAACGTAGAACACTACTCATACCTTGGAGCCATCTGTCAGCGAATGCTATTGACGCTGAAATTCAACATCGCTTGAAATGTGTTAGCGCAGCACTCGGGCGACTTCTAGAGAGAGTCTCCGACAATCACGACATCAGTGCTGAGACAAAACTTCACGTCTACAATGCAGTTGTAATACCAACACTTACATATCGATGCAAACCATGGACCACCTACAGAAAACACATAAAAAGCCTAGAAAAATATCACCAGCGATGCCTGAGAAGGATCCTACAGATTAAATGGCAAGACCGCGAACGTACATTTAGAAGTAAAAGTGTTTTAAAGGACAGTCAACTGAAGGAGGGAAAACGGAATCAAGGAGGTCAACAAAAACGTTACAAAGTTGTTCTAAATAGGAACATATGGCAAAGTGCCGCATCGATACCAACGATACCGGACTGGGAGATGGCTGGGAGTCTACGATGGACCACAAAGTTCTAAAGAGCAGCGACGCAGACACGAGACCGAAAAGAGGGACCTGGAGGAAGGAGCGTGAGAACAAAGGAAGAAACAATGCTGCTAGCTGTCAAAGGTTGGGTGTTCCAAGATTGTAGAAAAGCGTGTGGCTCGAGGTTTATTGTGCGAAAATCAGAAAATACATTCGTAAAAATCTTCTTTTTCTCATCTTGAGCATTTCACTGTTAGTAATGTAAGGAGAAACATGTTCTCGTCTATTTATGTTCAATATATATCGTACACAATTGTTCTGAATCTTTTGTAGTCTATATTTATGATGTTATGTTCTGTTAGAAAGGATCCATAAACAAAATCTGCATAATAGCAGTGTGCCAAGACTAGCGACTCTAATAACATGATTTTAGTATTAGTAGGAAGAAGATGTTCAAATTCATAAAATTTCTTTAAAATAAAACATGTGTTGTGACAAAATGCACTAACATGCCCTGTAAAAGATACAGCAGGATCTAGCAACAATGCCTCAACACCTGCAAGCAGCTAATCTCTCGCATCTATATTCCTTCCAAACAAAATAGCCTTAGTTTATGATGGATTTACAACTAATGCATTCTTCTGTGCCCTAATAGGATCCTAATTAATTTTTCCCAAAACTAAGAAGTCAGAGTTATTCCTGAAAAATGACAGATATTCGTGAATGTATATATGGCCATCAGAAAACTCATAATCGACGACAATAAGAATAGTAGATAATCATACTCGGTATCGAGTTAATTAATAAAATTAATAACAACTATCGTAAAAATAGTAATATTCATCGAAAATGCGTTCCATGGTGTAATAATGCATATTGGACATTCACACATTGGACACCCTGTATCTCAAAAACTAGTCATAGGATTGAGTTGAGCCCATGGTAGTTATTGATCAGAATGGTCAGATCTATAACATACTAAAATTTGGTGAAATTTGACCGCGGTCAGAAATCCCATAAGAAGTGTGGGGTCCTTTCGAAATTTTCCAGTAAAAAATCACTCCAGGAAAAATTCAAAGAAAATTGACTTATTTAGGCAAAATTAAGGAAAAATCATTGAGGTAGAATAATAAGAAGGCGACATAAGGAGAAAAAAGCGTATCCCACTTCCGCCATATTGTTACGACTCTTCTGTCTGAGATTCTGTCACTTTTGTCATAGCAACGCGTTAAAATTGCATCTAGAATTCCTATTTTGGGTCTTGGAAGGATCTCCTGTTTCAGTATGTTGAAGTTTCTGTAGCTACTTTTTTTTTCTTGGTGTAATCTCGATTTTTTTACGTTTTGTTTTGCAGTTTCGCTATGGAGCTCACGGGCCCCTTTCGGGGCTTCGCACACATGGCACACCGGTAGATACGCCATTGGAAATTTGATATTAGAGAGATTTTGAGCCACATAAATTTTGAAATACGTTAAACGATAAACTGAGCAAGCGCAGTCTTTGAAAAATAGCGAATGACATAGCCTTTTTTAGTTTTTGAAGCCAAAACTTGTGAAGGACTTTTAACGCTAAACGTTAATGAAAATTTGTGGTTAGGATTTTGATTTTGTGTAATTAACATCAAATTTTATGTTGTCTGTTGTTTATGTTAGAATTGTTAGGTATTCATTTGTAATTTGTTTTGTGTAATTGTGTACTGCACTTCATGAATAACATTGAAAATATAAAAGGACGTCGAAATGCGGAAAAGATGTTAAAACGTTATCGGTTAATAACGTTCCGTTTATTTCCACATAATTAGTGTAGTATGTAACCGCTTATTAAGCGGACCGGTTATTTTTTCACTATTGCGCATGAGCAAAATAACCGATAACGTATAACGTTGATCAAATAGGTGGCTCAAAATGTCTCTATTGTGATTCCATTGGTCAATCAGTTATCCATTGACCAATGAATAGGGAACTTTACAAATTTTTTTTTATTTTTTTAAATCATTTATTTATGCCTTGAAAGAGTATTCCCCAAATATTATTCTCTAAAACTCAATAATAACTTGGTGAAATTTTTTTAAAGTTTCGCGCGTATTAAAAGCATTTCAAACGACTTTAAATGCGCGCGAATCTGGATGACGTCACGTAGTATGATTTCGGATTTTGCGTCACCTTGTCGTCAAACTTTATATCACAAAACATCTTTATATTTTACTTCATTGTATTTAATATGGTTAACTTCCACATTTTCCACCGTTATTTGTTTTGTTGTTGTTTTGGGTTGCAGCGAGCTATACATTTTTAAGTTATAATGGAAAAAAAGATTCGCACACACTTACTTTTGCTACTATAAACATATCACAAATTACAGATTGGCGGATTGGCCTTTGGAATTTCGTTCTTCGGATATTCGGTCATAATTAATAGGTATATCGTTTTATTTATATAATACTGAGCTAGGCATTGAATTTAAACTAAGTAAACCAATTCTAATAATGATAAAATTTTAAAAAATCAGAGAAAAACGTAAATAAACACAGCTAACGGGTATTTATTATGTAGAGTTCGAGTAAACGCTCGAAGTTGCTGTTTTGTTCTTTTATCCCTGTTCTTCTCATCATAAGAAAAAAAGACGGAAAATGCTCCGAGTGCTCAGTGTTTCAAGACGAACTCACGGTTAGATGGACGGTTGCTGACAGGCACTGACAGATCATACTACATGACGTCACGACCAGTACCAGAGCGTTTTTTCCCGCTGGAAATAATTTGAATTTTTCTGCATTTTCAATTCCTTATTGTGGCCGTTTGCGCCAAAAAAAAATTGTTTTTTTCGCTGATATAGGTTTTAATTAATGTATTCTTATGATTTATAGTAATATTTTCATGTTTAAATTTTTTGTCAAGTTTCCTATTATAGAACGGTACATTTATCTTGCAGATAGGTATCAGCAAATTTATCTGCAGATAAATAAGTGAATAAACCGGGCTTTAATTTATTAAATTATTTATCCGACAGATTGCATACCTTATACTTTACTTTGTCGATAAGTGTATAAACCGGCCCTTAAACATCAAAACTTGCATCAAAAATTGGAAATTTTCAAAAATTGAATTTTAAATTATTAAAGTGAATCAAGAGACGGAAATTTTAAAAATTTGAATTATCAAACGTCAAATTAGGCCAATCAAAAGTCGGGAATATTTGAAAATTGAATTTTAAAATCAATCAAGATTCGGGAATATTCAAAAATTTGATTTAATTCTATACAGGGTGTCCAAGATTTGATGGTTTTAGCGGGTTTCGGGTACCATTTGCGAGCCTCAACTTTCAAGAGAAGTTGACCTCGATATTTCGATTCGTTTTTAAGCTACAATAGGAAAAATTGACTAAATTTTCATAAATAAAAAGGTTATAGCCCCCCTGTTAAAACACCAAACTTTTCAAAAACACCTCGTAGAATAAAAACGACTCGACATATCGAGATGCGGTTTTCATCAGTCAATTTCTCTTGAAAATCGAGGCACGCAAGTGGGGGTCAGATTTTTTCCAACCTGAAACCCCCAAAACCATCGAATCTTGGACACCCTGTACAATAAAGCATTTGATTTTCCAGTTAGAAGACTTGCTCAAAATGTCTGACGTAGGCGAAAACTGGAAAGTCGACCCTGTCCTCCACTCGGCCTGCAACACTGAAGTAGAAACCTTATGCAAAGACATCCACAGCGGCGAAGCCCGAGTTACCAACTGTCTCCTGGACAACATCGGCTCGCGCAAAATGTCCGACGACTGTGAAGACGCCCTTATACAAATCCAATATTTTATATCCAGGCGATTTGAATTGGATGATCAATTGTATAAGGCTTGCAAAAGAGACGCGCTAGATAGGAAATGTTTGACTGAGAGTTCATGGGATAATAATAGTCATAACCAAAAAGTCTTGCCTTGTTTGTACAGGTATGTTGATCCAGAAGACAAACATCTACAACTCAGTCTGCATTGTTTGGACAATATCCGAAGAGTGATGCGTCAAAGGGCTTTGAGTGTAGATTTAGAGCCAACAATTGAAGAATCTTGTCTGACAGATTTGGGCACGTTTTGTCACGACAAAGTCAATAGAGGCGAAGAGATGCGGTGCCTGCAAAAAAACTATCAAGATTTAGATGAGGATTGTCAGAAAACAATAGGAATGTTTACTGAGTTTCAATCAGAACATGCTGAATTGAATCCATATATTAATAAATATTGTACAAAGATTATTGAGGTGTTGTGTAATCAAGAGGCTAAAAACGACGAAGGCGATGTAATGGAGTGTTTGATTGCGCACAAAAACGATCCAGTTGTAAAAGGGACGCAAGAATGCCGAGCTAGCATTGAACATTTTCAAATTATATCCTTGAACGATTATAGGTAAGATTAGACCTCTGGTCCCATAACCTATTAATGTGATTTTTATTTTACTACTAGGTTTTCCTACAAATTCAAAGTGGCCTGTAAGCCCTACGCGATGCGTTTTTGCGAATTGGCTCGTACCAAAAACGAAGTTGTCCGGTGTTTGAGCGAGCAGGTATTGAACGCGACAGTTAATGGCGTCAAAAGTCAGATTCCGCGCGATTGCAAGCAACAGCTTAAAGCGCAGCTGTTTCAGCAAAGGGAAAACATCAAGTTCGATCCAGTTTTAAAGGCAGCTTGCGGGCCGGATATTGACAACTATTGTTCGCACGTTCAGAGCGGCAATGCACAGGTGAGTCAATAATAATTGTTAGTAGAATGATTCGATTTGATATACGTATGTCAACGATGTTAGATGTATGAAATACAGGGTGTCCCACGGTGGATGGCGTATTAGACGTTTATGGATAACTAAAAAGTGGATCATATTGAAAATTTGGCAACCGGGATAAACGACCATAATCTACACTTTAAAAATATTTTTGTTTATGCGGTGTTGCCGCTTCTACTCTTAATCAGTGGCAACATCGCTATTTTAAATGGAACACCCTGTATGTGATTGCATATTTGGATTCTACGTAAAATTTTGAACAGATTTCATGTGATATACCCTATACCTAAGTTCAACTATTTCGGAAATATTGACAGTTGAAAATTGAGTTTTTGCAACTTTGACAGGTTGTAAAACCTAAACGGTTAATTTTAGAGGAACGCCGATTTAACATTCCTATCTTAGATTTTCATAAACTATCATTTGACACCAACTCTGAATTTAACCGGAGATTAAATTTAATTGGAATTTTTAATCATGGATTAAATTCAAAGTTGGTGTCAAATTATAGTTTATAAAAATCTATGATAGGAATGTAAAATCGGTTTTCCTTTAAAATTAACCGTTCAGGTTTTACAGCCTGTCAAAGTTGCAAAAAGTCAATTTTGAACTGTCATTATTTCCAAAACAGTTGAACTTAGGTATAGGGTATATAACATAAAATCTGCTCAAAATTTTACGTAGAATCGAAATATGCAATCACATACAGGGTGTTCCATTTAAAATAGCGATGTTGCCACTGATTAAGAGTAGAAGCGGCAACACCGCATAAACAAAAATATTTTTAAAGTGTAGATTATGGTCGTTTATCCCGGTTACCAAATTTTTAAAATGATCCGCTTTTTAGTTCTCCATAAACGTCTAATACGCCATCCACCGTGGGACACCCTGTATATTTCAAAATGATGGTATATAAGTACAGGGTGGCTCGTTTATTTTATCTTATTTGGTATGATAACCTAAATATATTATGATAAAAAGTTAAATACAGGGTGGAATTTTCAAATAGAATAAAATTAGTATCAGAAAGCCTGTTTATTTTCTGGAAAAATAAAAAAAAAACGGGTTCCTTTATTTTTAGTTTGGCACATTTTTTCGGCCTTTTCTTGGAATTTACACCTCTCTTAAGGGTAGAAACCACCCCCAATTTTTTTTTTTTTCAAATATAAAGATATTTATTGTGATAGCTCGTTGAAATGGACATAAAAAAAGGAAAATGACTCATTATTTACTTTTTCATTTCGGTGATCTAGGAAGCGAGAAAAAAATTAGAACATATTTTTCCAAACAATTTTTTTACAGTTAAAATTGTTGAATATCTTCAGCATTTCTTCTTGGTAGAACCCTAATGCGAAACAAGCCCCATTTGTAACGTTATGTAATTATTTTTGATGTTAACACACTATTTGATGCCTGATACTCGGATTCTCAGCCCTAAAATAGTGCGTTAATGTCAAAAATAATTACATAACTAGATCACCGAAATGCAAAAGTAAATAATGGGTCATATTCCTTTTTTTATGCCCATTTCAACGAGCTATCACAATACATATCTTTATTTTATCGCGAATGGTAAGCTATCATTTAATCGACTCAAAACTCGTTGTTAAAGTAATACTTTATTTGGAGTAGTGAAATCGAACAGTTTTTACCCACTCATTTGTCAATTTTACCTACTCATGCGTCAATTTTACCCACTTATACGTCACTTTTACCCACTTGTTCAAATCTTTTATAAAAATTATAGTGTTTTTGACAGAAATCAGGGTTATGATGCATGATTGACAACACCAGAAATGTGTCAGTTTGTTACTTTGTCACCTTGTCATAATCTATGTAAAATCTTAGCACCTTTTAGTCTATGATTCTAGTAATTTTGATAAATAAAAAGTTGCTCAAGAATAAAATAGAATATTACACACGACACGACGATAAAAAAGCTTTACCTGCTCGTGAAATTATATTATTATATTATATTATTAATATTTTCCACTCACAGGTAAAACATCTTTTTACCGTCTTGTATAATAAATAACCAGTGGCGGATACAGGGGGGGGGGGCCCTGAGAGCCTCAAAAACTAGTAAATTTTTTAAAAAAATCATAGAAAAATGTTATAACATAATTTTCCAATAAAAGTTCATGGAAAAATTTTCCAATAGGTAAAATGTTGTAGGAAAATTTTCCAAGCTACACTATTATTCAATTTATTGTTTTGTTTTTATCAGATAATAATTGTGTTATATTTTTATTTGGAACGGGTAGTTTCATTTGTTATTTTCGGTTTTTTGATATGTGCAGGGTTGTCCAATTTGGACCCTTTTGATAGAAAACATCAATTTCTGAGCGAGATACTAAAAAATCAATCCCCACTCTGAGGCTCAAATTTTATGATATCTTGAACCGTTTTGTGGCTAGAGAATCAAGTGACTTTCTCAGTTTTTTTCTATTTGTTCCCGAATTCAAGATATTAACCAGAGTCCGATTGCTTTGATGAGACACTGGAGACCCTATATATTAATAAGTGATTGGATAGCTCTGCTTTTGATGCTTTCAATGATATAAAGTTCGATAGATTTATCTCTAACAGTTTTCCAGCAAAAATATTATAGGTATTCGTTTTTGTTATAAGAAACAATGTGTTAGAAGAGGAATTTCTATTTATAAGGAAAATGAGATAGGTTTCCTAATACATTATTTCTTTTGACTGAAACATCTATTTTTTTTTCTAGAAAACTGTTAGAGATAGGTATCTATTAAACCTTATATGTATCATAGAATCAGCAATAATAGAGCTATCACAGCCATTTGCACCGGTATAACTTAAGGGATATTTATTCCAAGTAGAGCTTTGAAAGTGACTCTTATAGAAACAAAAGTCACATTCAATGAGTTATTATATTTATCTAGGGTTTTTTATTAAAAAGAAAAATGAGACAAATATGAAAAATTGAGTACATTTGGACAAACATAAAACTGGTACAGGCAGTAGGTATTTTTTTAATTTGATTAATGTGAGTCTAGCTTAACAATAAAATGTTTCTTCTAAAAAACTCAGGTTAGACAGTTTTTGACATTTGACATTGTTGAATGTATTTGCGGCGGCATTTTATTTGATTTAAAGATGACACTGACTTGACTCTTGTAATTCTTGAGGTGATAATAGAGGTCGATTTACACAATACAACACATAGGAAAATGCATGTACCAGTTTTATGTTTGGCCAAGTATACATTATTGAATTCTGCTTGGAAGAGTACCTCTATAAAGTTTATATTATACAGAAATCAATTATTTTCATAAATGAAAACGTTAGGAAGGTTTCACCTTATTGCTCAAAATCGAGAAACATCCTCTAACGGCAAAACGGTTGAGGGTATCAAAAGACGATTTGCAGTGTTTGCACCAATTAAGGTTTCATGAAATTTGAGCGTCAGCAGAGTGTGGGGCTCATTTTTTTTGTATTTGGCTCAGAAATTGACGTTTCATATCAAAAGTTTCCAAATTGGACCACCCTGGACCTACATTCTTTAACGTATAAGTAAAGTAAAAATAAATTTTCAAGAAATCATTGTTGATAATTCTAAGCCTGCGCCCCCCCCCCCCCCCTGAAGAAAATCCTGGATCCGCCACTGTAAATAACTATTACATTTGAAAAAAAAAAAGTTGGGGTGGTTTCCACCCTTAAGAGCGGGGTAAATTCCATGAAAAGGCCGAAAAAATGTGCCAAACTAAAAATAAAGGGACCCGTTTTTTTTAATTTTCCAGAAAATAAACAGGCTCTCTGATACTAATTTTATTCCATTTAAAAATTCCACCCTGTATATACAGTAGCCGGACTTTCGCGAAACCAGCACGATGTTTATTATGTCTTAACGACTGGGTGAAAAACAAAAAAAATTGCGATCGAGAAGGCTGTTAGGAGACATTTTTATTTTATTTCTAGCTAAAAAATAATTAAAGGTTGAAGTTTTTGTTTTTTGCTTCAATGTAGGTAGGTAAAGTTTAACCATTATTAATTGAAATTTCATAAAAAAGGCGGCTCAGTTGATCTCTTTGAAGTCACGTGGGAATCCATATGCGCATGGGCGTCGTTTGGGGTGGGCAAGGGGGGGCATTTGCCTTAGTCTTTTGAACAAGAAAGAAGTAAAAGATAGTTCGTATTCGTATTGCTTTTTTCCATTTTTTTCAAAGGACCCCGCACATTTCTTATGGAAAAGTGATCTATGTGGAATTTTGCTGAATTTTTGATATTGTGTATAGGGAGTCGTCCTTAACAAAACTGATCATTGCGCTAATGTTCAATATCCAACAGTTTTCAAGATATCAATTAAAAACTTTTTTAATTTGATACTCTTCAGTATGACGTCACCAGTATGCTCACAGCACCGAAAATTAGAACTATCCTTTTCACTTTTGACTTTGACTACCTATACTTATACTCTTCTCCTTTTAACATTTAGGAAATAAAAAAAACAACAACAGGTACGCTATATGACAGACATCATGACATGAAGTTGACGATTGCGGCAGGAGCTAGGTGTTGTTTACATACCTACCTATTTGTCACTAATCGCTATCGCTATCTTTTTTTTTTTCTTAATATTAAAAGGAGAAGAGTAAAGTCAAAGTCAAAAGTGGAAAGGATAGTAAAGTGCGTTTTTTTTTTTAAAGGTAAAAGTCAAACTGACATTAGGTTGGCAATACAATGTAAAATTGTCAATGCTATCAAATTTTTCATGTAGAAAAGGCTTGTGTTATCAACATAGTTACTAAATTTTTGACTTGGGGAATTATCTTTAAAAAAAAAACAGATTTTAATAATTTTCGTTGCTGTGAGTGACGTCATACTGTGTATTATTAAAAAAGTTTTTAATTGATATCTTGAAAACTGTTGGGTATTGAACATTAGCGCAATGATCACTTTTGTTAGGGACGACTCCCTATACACAATATCAAAAA